AGTGTAATTGATACCATTAATCAATAAGCATCAGCTTATTGGTTAATCGTCTATACTCTAACATCTCTAATGACAAGAGTTACGAAGGGCCTCCCTCTCCTTGAGCAGCAGTGCCACCAGGAAATCCAGGGAAGATAGGGGAACCTGGGCCCACCCTGCTTCCCAAGATTCTCACCCAACACTCTATGAAACCCATTACCCTAGTGCAGGATTTAGGTTTTCATGTCCTCAAAATGCATCCCCTGGATCGCTTCCTACCTTTAGGCCTGCCTTGGGCTTCTCCTCAACTTGGCTCAGTGTCTCCTTCAATCCCCATAGTCAACTGGTTCTGTGTGGTGTAGTGTAGTCAGGTTACTTGGTCTCTGTTGTCTGGAGTCATTGCAGCTCCTATGCAAGAGCCTGCAGTGCATGTCTAATCTTCTTCTCAGACAATCAAGCCTGAGCCGAGCTGCTTCCTTTTATATGCTCCCTTTACCAGGAGCATGCCCAGCAAGAAAGAGGGGGCGTGGCCTCTGGAGCCCAAAACAGTTTGTTAATTCCTGTATTGCCAGTACAGGATTGATATACCTGGTCACACGGTCTTCTGCATGTGGATGAATTTCCCCCATCTTGAATTTAGTTTTTTCATAAAGGAAAGGAATTTATACTACTCACTTTTAAGTGATGAGTATAGTTTAGCAGAGAGATACTCAACTTTAGAAGTTCTAGGGGCCACAATGATACTCACAGCATGTGCCAAAGGCTGCAACTTAAGTGTGGTTGCATGTTCATGCAAATATATATGCAAATACATGCAAATAGATTCTTTCACACTGACTGGCATGAATACAAAGATTAAGGCAAGACTACACAACGCACAAGCCCCATTTAAGTCAGTTCTGTGATATTAGTAAAATGCAATATTTAACCAATTTCCACCCATATGACAGCACTTTTAATGAGCAATGACAGTCCAGGAATTTAACTACTAAAACGCATATAAACAGAAGACCATTATATTGACTTGCCATTATACAGTGTGGAGGTCATGTTCAAAGAATACCACCTGTGAGCCACATGTTAAGCCCTGCGTAAACCCAATCTGCACCGGGCTGCAAACAGGCCACAAGCCACATGTTGAGTAGCCCTGATTTAGCATAATGTATTTTACATGGGTCCAGTTATCAGTGACTTAATCTTATCATATGAGATCAGAAATATTTTTAAATGTACTAGAGAATTCAGATCTATAGCTTTTAACATTACAGGCAGTCCCCGGGTTACATGGATCCGACTTACATCGGATCCCTATTTACAAACGGGGTGAGGCAACCCCGCACTAGCTGCTTCCCTCCAGCAGACCAGGGAGACGCGAAGCTAGCGTCCCCCCCAGCAGACCAGGGAGACGCGGAGCGGCTTTTCTCAGCAGACACCTCAGCTTGAGAATAAAGGACTGAGGGAAGTGAGGTGTGGGAGAATAAAACTGAGCTCTGGAGAAATGTTTGGCTAGAGTTTCCCCTACAATATGTACCAGTTCCGACTTACATACAAATTCAACTTAAGAACAAACCTACAGTCCCTATCTTGTACGTAACCCGGGGACTGCCTGTATATAGAACCAAAAAGCACTCAGCCCATTATGGACAAATCAGAAATCAAGGTTCGGCTCTACTGTTTTTACAGTCTGAATATGCACAGTGAATCCCTAATGGAAAAGTCTAAAAATGTGTACATCTCTGATTTCCAGAAACAGTTGATGTTGTACTACAAAGATTTATAATCCCATTTTGAATATTAGCTCTCATGTAGTATGCCAAAACTTCCTTAATGTACCAGATTTAATGTGGAAAAAAAGAGAAAAGATGATTTGGGCAAAACCCCAGCAAATTCCATATTTGGGGAAGAAAAATATACACAGGCTATTTGTGAAGTACTCACAAGGTCCATTATGCATGTATCACCTAGCATCTGTAATTACATCTTTTATCTTCATCATATAACTCTTTCAGAAATAATGTTCTGTAGGGTAATTACATTATTTTCTAATAAAGATTAAAACTTTAGGAAGAGGATATTAAAGGTTTATAAACTAACTAATGATATTTGATTAACAATTCTTGTTACATTCCTGCAGTGAGGTACTATGGGTGTGCACTTTGTGTCTGTTAATTTATTTTATATGTCTGTTTGCATGCATGCATCACTGGAGAGTATCTGAATGCCTCTTGGAGATAAGTACTGTGTGTTCACTAGTCTGATCCTCCCACTGGAATGGGAACAAAACAAAAAAGTTTTTCTATAAAGGGAAAAAAACCCAACAACAAATCATTAGCTATAAAAGCAGTTCTAGTGTCTATTGAATTATTTGAAATTTCAATCTTGAAAGTTGATGTCTTCTTCCAGTGCTCTAAAGCAGCAAGCTTTATCAGAGATTTAGCTTTCATATAGATCCCTCTTTAGTGAGGATCATGCTTAGCTTAGGTAAAACATTAATAGTATAAAAGAACTTACAGATAGATGAAATTTTAGCATTTTGATTTTTGGTGTGTTTATTGTTTAGTATACTGCCTGTTGGTCAAATTCCTAGGATACTTGGATTTAAAAATAATTCCTACCTTGATTTCTAGCATCCTGTTTTGAGAGGTTCCTTATGTTCTTAATGTAGATTGAAGTAAGCCTTGAATACACCAAAGCAGGAACATATAACCCATACATATGATCCAGCCTGTTGCTTAATTTCATTTGGCCCGTAGCAAGTCTTGCCACCTCTCCCACAGGGCTCCCACCTCTCCCATGGGTGCCAGCTCATCTGCTGCAGGGAGACACTCTTAGCCTCCACACCCCTCAGCCTGGGAGGGTGAGTTCAACTTTTTTATTTTTTTTCTCATAAATACAAAATAAAATTACTTTTCACTTGTGTGTGGCCCTCACTTGATTTTTTTTCTGTGGGTTAGTGGCCTATGATACAGAGGCTCCACATCTGAAATATATTATCCAAATTTCTCAGCAAAAGTACACATTTTTTATGATTTCCTATGGGAATTTTAAATGAACTCTTATTTTTATTCAGTTTTTCATCTGGAAATATATAAAAGCATTTTATAACATAGAGGATAGATGAGTGTGGCTTAATACTGAAAATATAACTTTCACACCCATTTTAATATAAACAAACACCTGGTCTATATAAACATAAAACAGAATGCTTAGTGTGTATAAAGTAAAAATAAACAAAATGGCAAGAAATTAATTTTGAAAATTGCTTGAATAAATTACTACTTGCACGTAATGCTTAAGGGGGTATTTTCACTGTAAAGATTCAGTCACATTTCTCCCATTAACATTAATGAGAGTTGTGCTGTGAAATCCCTGCACGCTACAATGAAAACATACTCCTTTGAAACTGTACAAATTTAAAGTGAAAAGGAAACCGGTTAATATATACTGTATTTTAAGAATCTTCAGGTGAACAAATCTTAGAGGGGTAGCTATGTTAGTCTGTATCTGCAAAAACAAGAAGTCCCGTGGCACTTTAAAGACTAACAGATTTAATTGCAAATCTGTTAGTCTTTATTTGTAAATAAAGCTGTTAGTCTTTAAGGTGTTATAGGACTCCTCTTTGTTTTTTGCAAGTGAACAGTACTTGTCCCTACATTTTCAGTGTGCTGCAGAAGAATTTGGTTGGGCATTAATTTTGACTAAAGCCTTGGGCACTACTTTGACATTATTCGCAGTTAAAAGTTGTTCGACAATGTAAGATTCTGTTCAGTTGGTGTCTATTTTTCATAACTCATAGTGCAGTTTCAATATGGCAGCGCACTGAAAATACAAGCTTAAAGGGTCACCTTAAAATAGTACTTCTGTCTGAAATTTTTTACATTATATGGTTACATAAATTATGATAAGTTTACTGTAAATCAGTGAGATTGAGAGAAACATATTCAGGGTCTGATCTCATGGAAGGCAGAGTGAATGAATCACATGAGTTTTCAATTCTTAAGTATGTTAGGGTATGTCTACACTACCCCGCTAGTTCGAACTAGCAGGGTAATGTAGGCATACCGCACTTGCAAATGAAGCCCAGGATTTGAATTTCCCGGGCTTCATTTGCATAAGCGGG